ACATATAAAAAACATGACATCATACAGGAATTAGTTTATGAGAAATGAATCAATATAATCAAAATTGATGATTGTCCGAATAATTTCGTTGTTGACTGTATGTATCTATTTTCTGAATGATATAAACAGCTAATAATACAAGCATAAGTATGCAAATACTTCTATTTATAAGAATTTCCGGAGCTTTTACAACGGTTAATCAAACCAAGGCTTATAATTTTCTATCAGCGAATGAAGCCTCTACGTCTTAGAGAGCAACACCTTTTTAAACATAGTTCACATAATCACAAGAAAGAAATATAACAGACATCAGAAACAAAAAAAATAAAAAAAAAATGGGCTATCAATAATCACAACAACTAAAACACATATCACAATAACTTGACAAAATCATTACATATCCAAGAGGTTGATGTTTCACACAATTTCAAAAGGTGGAAAACCCTATAAATGCTGAAAAGAGCTTGAACATTTACAGGAAGTGAGAAACCTATTTTCATGAAAAATTGTTTTAACTGAAATATTTTGTAAATTTCAACCGACTGTTAGGTCAATGAATTTCGATTATTTACTAATAATGTAATGGCTAATATAACCATTGCCATGTCTGATCCCCATTCCGATGGCTAGGGAGTGAAAAACAGTGAAATTCGAGTAGGACTATCTTCTTAATTAATCATGAATGTTTTGGTAGAAGGAAACAACTAACATTAAAATTAGCATTAAAGATGCTACAGACACAACACATTTTATTTAATCGCCTCACACTGACAGGATATGGTACAAGTGGAGATTCCAAACGTATATATATATATATATATATATATATATATATATATATATATAGGCTATGGCGAAAAATTGCTCAAAACAAGGCAACTAACCTCGTACTGGCGTCGATATTTCACCAGATCTAGTTGGTGAAAAAAGGAGATGCTGCCACAGAGTTACTAAATCCGTGGTTCATTTATCCCTTGTTATATATCCGAAAACATTAGCTAAATTGAGATAAAAATAATCTTGTTTGTTTGCTCGATGCAAGGTCAGTTTAATGTGAGGAGACCGAGCGCGTTCCCTCAAAGTTAAGTCCAAAAATAAACCAGCAACCCCCTGGTTCGTTCAATGAACGGGTTACAGCCGGGGACAGCTGTCCTCCGAAATGGGGGAACCTCTCAACAGTATTTCAGTTGTGTTCTGTCCCGCACAAGCTCAATTGACTTTTGTCTCTGTCCGACACAGTAGAAAAGGTATTTTATCCACATGAGAAAAGAGACGGTGTTTACTCGTTCCCCTATGAGGACGAGATGTGACACAAGGTCTTTTTAAAGTGGGAACCCGAGCGCGTGCACCCGGAAAATGTACAAAAATTGCCCACATCCCACGCAACCATCGGTTGAACTGGCCTCGGTGAGAGCACGTACTCCTCCCTCTTATGCAATTGGAGGGAGTGGCCTCGGGCAGCTTTTCACCAGGGCTGGGCACCTCTCAGTATTATTTTCTCAATTGCCCCTCTGTCCTTTGACAGAGAAGCCCCTGAGCGCACTCTGTCCAAGGACAGAGACGCAACTGAGAGATGATAAATAATACGTATAAATTACTCTATAGTAATTTATACGGTAAATATAGTAGTAATAAATACGGTAAGTGCAGTATCTGAGAGCAGATACTTCACTTCGATCCCAGCCCGATGGGTATAAATTTATTCTATTTGGGGCTATTCCTCTTTTCTTCTATTTTATAAGATTATGCAATAGGCAGGATTTCAGTTGGAACTGAGCCAAAATAGTATTATTATTTTAATATATAATATAAAAATTATCCTAAAAATTATCTTCATGTCACATGTTTTCTATTTTATTTCCCTATTTAATCTTCATACCGTTGATAACCCGGTGTAATATTTGAGGTCAATGCAAGTAGTCACAGATTCAAACATCTGTTTCTCGCTATATTTCACTGATTTTTCTTAGTCTTTTCCTCATCCATCATTATTATTATTATTATAAATATTATTATTATTGATTCAAATTATTCGTTTAATCAGAAGGATCCTCAGGGTTGAGAGCTTATCGGATCCTCAATAATAATTCAAAAAAGGAATCCACTTTGTATGTTAATACGTGAAAAGAAAAGCAGAGCATATGAAAATGTAATTGTATGTAGAAAACAACTGAAGCAGAAGTTTGGTGAGCTAAATGTGTTCAAGAATCTGGAAATTTGACAAGAGAAATGACTTTCAAAAGGTCCAATGTTTTCCAATTCTTTAGTGAAATCCCTAAGGCATTACATGTAATTACATGCCTATATGCTTTCTACTTCACGAAATATAGGACTCAGGTTTGATAGATTTATGAAAACAAAACAAAAACAAAAAAAAATTTTAAAGAATTTATGTGCTTTTTGTCTATTATGCACGCATTTGCATAGATTCTTATTGTTTTGGGGTAAGCAGGTTGAATTAAAAATCTCTTCATATATATGAAGTTCGTACGTTCAAACCTTGGTTCAAATAGTGTAAAATATAGTGCAAAAGTCATGTAATCAGATTTAGAGACAGAGACAATAGACTTCATAAAGTATAATTTAGCAGAGGAGAAAGGGAAAAAATGACCCCCTCTATTCCATACGGGATTCTTTCTTGTATTATATTCGAAGAATGTCAGCAAATATTAAAGACAGTGAAAGAAAACTGTAAACAATATATGCATTTTGACGATGAAAAATATGACGACACCAGACCGAAAGTAATCACTGCATATCAGATAATAAATATGATATAATTTTAGGTACAAGAAATACCCCCGAAAATACGAAGGTTTCCCGTTGGAATTTTTTGTGGGAAACTTAATTCTTAATATGGAACGTGGAACTAGAACAGTCCACTCCAGTGAGCGAAATAAACTGTTCTTTTCGACATTCCGACCACGCGAAGTAGGTCGTAGCTTACAACGGCCGAAACGATGCGATAAACATGGCAACAAAGATGAGGACAATAGTCTGAAAAATGTAAATAGTGTCCCTATGTATTGATATGCGCCGTTGGTATAATGGAACCGGTGGTTTCCCTATTATGTGGCCTAAGACAATAAGTAACAAGAATTATTTGATAGTTTCAATAATGAGAAGCTTTTGATGAAATCATTTGCTTAACTTTTGCTTTTGGCCCGTTTTCTGTCAAACCTTGTTACAGCTACACCGCGTTTAGGACGAGCAAAATTTTAGGAAATCGTTTTATTTACGAACATTTTAAAATCTATTCTGTTTCTAGACATTATTACTAATTGGGTCTACTGAGTTATTGCGATCAAGGTTCGAATGCCTGTAAGAGAAATTAATCAAACAAGGTTAACCCTAAAAACAGAAAAAATATATTTTGAAATTGAATCAAAATCCGCATAGACGTTGTCACTCACCAACTAGCGAAGAATAAGTTTAGAACAGCATGTTAAAAATGCTCAAAATTTAGATGTATTAACAGAGGTATTCCATGTATTATTAACATTATGTGGGCACCTCTAGGTGGTGTACTGGTTTGCAAGCTTATCTCGCTAGAACAATTACGATCCTCACTGGGTGCCGACATTTTCGCCCTTGTGCCACATCTAAGCTATGCTTGGAAAATCACTTTGGGCACCTCGAGCCGGTGTAATGGTTAGCAAGCTTGTCTCGCTAGAAAAATTATGACCGAGTAGTTAGTTCGATCCTCACTGGGTGCCCCTTAATTTCGGCCTTGTGCCACATCTTAACTACGCTTGGAAAATCGCTATTATTTAAATCATGCATATATTTTGGCAGCATGATTTCATTGAGATATGTTTCTTTGAATATTTTAGACATGTTACGTCTAATTATTTTCAGTGCGATCTTTGATATACACGGAGAAATATTTTAGGCCGTTACTGAGGGACAATAGAAAAAAGGGGGATTTTTTCTCGTCCTTCAATAATGACACCAAAAAGCTTATTCGTGAATATGAAAGATTCTATTGAAAATAAGTAGACAGCGAAACATGTCTCAATGAAAGCAGTCATCCACAGAGATTCTGCTTCGCTGTAAAACAACAGCACAGACGCCCGATTGCTTCAAACCTGGATCGAAATACGAATGACTTGGCAGCAGTCAGGTATCTTACACTAAGCCATCGACACACACCTGAAATGAAGCGAATTGTAACGTTTTTCGCTATACGAATTACGCCAGTGGCTCAGAGAACTCAATTCAATAATTCAGTAGTGCTTAATTATATATATATATATATATATATATTGCTTGAACCGGCTTCTAATGCTCAAGTTTTAGCGGCTTGGTGACAGTAGTGGTGGCTCCTGGGGGCACAGTCCTATGTTTAAAGAGAATCTCAGTTGAGATTCCACCACGGAATATGTGAGCGACCGACGCTATATTGAGTCTGATTTGCAATCTCTTCGTCACTGATGCCTGTTGGAACAGTTGGTATGGCGTTTGTATAATAACCTAACTGTCGGTAGTGGATGCGCACTGCTGATGTGTTAGAAATATAGGACGAAATGGCCGTCCAGTGCTTTCTGCATTCTGTTGAGGTTTCTTTTAGACTCGATGAATATATATATTCGTGCGTTAGCATGCAGAGATGATTGAATAAATATATATACTTCATTTAATATTTCGCCCTTGCATGGAGTATTGCTGCCATATATGGTCTGGAGCCGTTTCTGTTTGTCTCAAGTTCCATGATAAAATCCAGAGAATCTTTATTAATGTCATTGGCTCTGATCTCTAACAGACGTGGCGTCGCCTCCCTCTGTCTACTTTACACTGTCAATTACTCGAAGAAACGATGGTTATAACGACAAAGAATAAAATTCTGAGAGTCAAACGAAACTTGAAGAAAATGTTTTGTCGTTGATTGCCAAACCAAACTTACTGAGGATGGTGGAATCCTGATGTCCTGACATAGTCTCAATGATAACTTGCTTTTAGTGTTTTGTTTTAAAACCACACAGCACGCGAACAGGAGCAGTATGGTTGTGTCTGTAGAAAGAGCAAGATATCTGTTTCACACGCTAAATTTCCTACCCCGTATTCTTTTTCTGGGGCATCGTTTAAAGGCAGACAACGCAAGCACAGTAAGATGCGATGTAAGAAGACGGAATCTTGACATTTGTTCTATCTATCTATCTACCTATCTATCTATCTATCTATCTATCTATCTATCTATCTATCTATCTATGTTCATACATATTGCTTTCTCTCCTCATCAATCTATCTATTTATCTATCTCTGTTCATATATATATATATTGCTTTCCCTCCTCATCTATCTATCTATCTATCTATCTATCTATTCTATCTATCTATCTATCTGTTCATATATATTGCTTTCTCTCCTCATCTATCTATCTATCTATCTATCTATTTATCTATCTATCTATGTTCATACATATTGCTTTCTCTCCTCATATATCTATCTATCTATGTTCATACATGTTGCTTTCTCTCCTCATCTATCTATCTATCTATCTATCTATCTATCTATCTATCTATCTATCTATCTATGTTCATACATATTTCTTTCTCTCCTCATCAATCTATCTATTTATCTATCTCTGTTCATATATATATATATTGCTTTCCCTCCTCATCTATCTATCTATCTATCTATCTATCTATCTATCTACCTCTGTTCATACATATTGCTTTCTCTCCTCATATATCTATCTATCTATCTATCTGTTCATATATATTGCTTTCTCTCCTCATCTATCTATCTATCTATCTATCTATCTATCTATCTATCTATCTATCTATGTTCATACATATTGCTTTCTCTCCTCATATATCTATCTATCTATCTATCTATGTTCATACATGTTGCTTTCTCTCCTCATCTATCTATCTATCTATCTATCTATCTATCTATCTATGTTCATACATATTGCTTTCTCTCCTCATCTATCTATCTATCTATCTATCTATCTATCTCTGTTCATTCATATTGCTTTCTCTCCTCATCTATCTATCTATCTATCTATCTATCTATCTATCTATCTCACTCGCATTTCCACAAAAAAAGCCCCAAAAGCGCAAAGACTCGTGCAGCATGGCAGCATCAGTCAAACGGAGCAAGTACTCAGTTTTTCTCCCTAATCTTTCTCTCCACGGTTCATTCAAGGGACATGTTTTAAAAAGGGAAACATTTTGTGCACTGTGAGATGAGACTGATTAAGCAGAACTTTTCTATCCAACTCTTTATTTATCCCGCTATTGCTCACGCCAAAAATAACCAAAAAGCGCGCGATAATAACGGTTGAAGAGGAAGATCTCTGTTTCTCGTCCTAAATGTCTTTCCTGATTTCATTTACGGGGCATGATTTAAACAGGGAGGCATTACGTATCTGGTGAGATTTAACAAGCCGAACTATCTCAACAATACCAAATATTTGTTTATACCTTATATACGGAGATTGCAAAGATTTAATTTGTGCCATGAACAGTTCCTACTAATCAGATGCAAATATTTCTGCCCAATCAGAACAGAACAGAATAATACTGGCCAATGAAAAAGCTGCTCAACAAAATATATCCTTAAACTACCGCAAAGTTTTTTTCCAGTTTATTGCATGTGTTGAAATAATTTCATTACAGCAGCATTTTTTTTTTTTTCGATTTTGTTTAATTTTTACTAAAATGAATATTCAACTCAACACTGTCAATCAGACTTTTCAGACTTATTGGCTAAAATTTTATTACGTGATCAGCGTTTTAAACTCATCGTGATAAAGACGATTGTTTCTGTTTTTATACGCAAATATTAGTCATAACAACACAGCTTTTTTATTTGCATACACACACACACACATACGCAAAAACACACACACAAACACACACACATATATATAGGCTCTAATAGACAAAGTGTCCAATAGTTATATTAAGATTTGGTACGTTGTATCTTAGAAATGATTAAAGATGTCTTACTGGAATTCTTCGAGGTTTTTTCGAAAACTATTGGACTTTACTTTGAACAATAAAAATGTATAATTACTTTCCAAGCTTAACAGAAGAATCGTAATGAAATTGATCATGAAAGAAAATATGTTCGTCATCAATTAATTTTAACTAAGGATCAGAAGCTCATGAAGGATTGAAATCAAGTTCAAACACAGACACGCACGCACGCACACACACACACACACACACACACACACACACATATATATATATATATATATATATATATATATATATATATATATATATATATATATATATATAATTATATTATTCAATGATCATTTTCCAACTTATTCAAGATGATCTTCACCTTCTCTAAATTTCTAAATTTCTATCCTGTAATAACAAGATGTCTCAAACGTTACACGTACGATTTAATTTTCAAGTCTTTTTTAACTGCTTTTTAGACTGTCATAGGTGAAGCTCATCCCTCATGTGCCAAACGTCTTATGGATACATTGTAATTGATGTCTTTATATGAAATTATGATTCCTCTTCCTACTGGGAA